TATATGTGATGAGTTGTAATAAATAATTGTTCGAATATTCTAGCTTATATAAATTTAAGATATTTATTTGAATAGATGTAAGTTGAAGTTTTTATTTTATTATTCTTGTCATTAGAAATCAAAATTCATTGAATATGACGAATGAATTATTATTACAACCAAAATTAAAACGACGACGAATCATGATTATTAGTGGTGATGAAAGTGTTATAGATGAAATTCAAAAAACTAATAATATTTCATTATGTAAATCAATTATATTAGATACTCTAGATGAAGATATACCAATTTCACATTTCGAAGTAAAATTTCAATTATTTTCTTATACAAAAAAAAAAAAAAAGAAAAATTAATTTCAATATAGACTGAAACAACAAATCAAAAGAAACAACAGAATATTTCATTGATTTGTACTATTTGTGGTTCAAATGCAAGTGGATATAATTTTGATGTTATTTCATGTGAAAGTTGTAAATCTTTTTTTCGTCGTAATGCTTTAAGATATTCAGTAAGAATTTTTTTTATCGATAAATATTTATTTTCTTTAATGTTATAGACTTTATTGATTGTTCGAAAAAAAATAAGCAAAAATTCAGCCGTAGAGATCTATTTGCTTTATGATTTTTTGTCACATCCTACATTTTTTCAGTATATTTCGTGTACTGAAATACGAAAATGAATTTTGGAAAATTCTCCAGCCAACGCCCAATGTTAAGATTTAGTTGCCACGAAAATCCTACATTCATACAGTGATCTGTCATCATCATATATTCAAATAAATTCCCTACTATGATCAATTGGCTTTTATTCATATAAAAATAAAAGTTTGAAAAATTAGGAATGCCAAGTAACTTTTAGAGTGGTTTCCAAGGGGGAAATAGCTGATTCCAAGAATTCTGCTGCTCGGAATCAATTATTTTCTCCTTGGATTTTTTTCCATTATTGTAAGGACGGCAGATGACATTGTCCGTGTTGATTATAAGTTTCCAAGGGTTCTCTTTAAGGGGGGCCCCCATCTCAGCAAACCTATTTTTTCGAAGAAAACTCGAAGTTGAGATTTTATCATAGGAAGATGCGTCGAAGCCTCCTCCTTCAGAAAATATATGCCTTTTTTCCAACAAGGCCAGGTTTTAATAAACTTACCAAAGGAGATTGGGGACCTACTATCATGTTTTTCGAGACATTTTCGGAAGCCTTTCAAAAACGGAAAAACGTTGCTTTTCTATTTTAATACATTGTATTAAAACAAAACAAAACATACCAGAAGATGCAGCGTGAAAAGCTCTACAATTTGTATAATGCCACTTATTTTATAGTTGCACTTTTTCTTTTAAAAATCGACAAAATTCTGAAAATATGCTATTTTCATATGTTGTTTTTTGAGCTTGAATAAAAAAATCTATTTCTAAATTTGTTTTTCGTTTTTCTCAAAATCAATTTTTTCGAGTTTAACATTTACGCGGGGAAGGATTTCTTAATAATGACTCAATAGAGAAGGGATAATTTTTTGTTTTTGTTGAATAGAGGACAGTTAGGGCTCCGATTTTTGAATTTCTCGTTTGCTGAAATAAAAAACTCAGATATTTCATATGTATTAGCACTTTGAATTTGAACATTTTTCGAAAAAGTATTTTTAAAAATCAAACAAAGGAAAATTCAAAAATCGAAGCTTATGAGGATCTAGTCCTAAGGTCACTCTACAATTTAAAAACCACCCCGACATGATTAGCTAGTAACCCCATTGTGAAAACCTTCCTCGCGCAAAGGGTAATGAATTGACTGGAATTTGTGCATATCGTTGAGATTTTGGGGGAGATATTTTAACCATAAGCTATTCTAGTCAAGACTACCATTCTCTGAAATTTTAGTTGAAATCGGATGAGAAAATAACAAAGTTCATTTCTGAGAGGGGGGCCTCCCCACCTTAATTCGCCCCGAACAACTCCACTGTTGTCTTTTATCAATAAGGGAGAACACAAAGGTATCTCAGAGATTCTGCCGGCTGGAATCCAGCTGTTTCTCTCCTTGGTGATTTCTCATAGCTGAATATCAACAAACATATAATAGACGATCAATATTTGTACTGTTTCCTTTTTCTTCTATGTTTTTTCTAGCCACTTAAATGTCTACATCAAGGTACTTGTGATGTTAGTTTTAATTTACGTCGTCATTGTTCAGCATGTCGTTTAACAAAATGTTTCAATAGTGGAATGCGTCGTGAACGACTTTTAATAGTATTAAAAGAAAATTAAATGTAAAATTTATTTATTAATTAAATTTTGTATTTTTTTCTTAGGCAGAACAAAAAGCAGAAATACGTCGTCATAGACGAGAAAATCAAAATTTAAATATAAATGATCAAGAATCTCAACTATCATTAACTTTACCATTAAATGATGTATAACAATATTATTTATTATAATTTATTTTTTGTTGTTATTGTATTGTTTTCTTTATAGTTATCTTCAATATTAGATCAAGAACTTTCACTTTTTTCTCAATGTTTACAAGAACATTCTGTACAATCTAAAAAAACATTACTTAGTCCAGAAGATTTACAACGTTTAGAATCAATACAATTTTTCTATCAAAAACGTATTGAACTTGGTAAAAAAAAAACAAAAAAGTTATTCTATTGATTTTCACTTTTATTTTTATTTTCATAGCTCGTGATGGTCTTCCATTAAATTCATCATCTATACCTACAACAACATTTTTACAACAACTTAATAGTCATTCAATTCCACTTTTAAGACTTTTAACATTTTTTAAACAAATACCAGAATTTAATGAATTAAATGTTGATGATAAAGTTATATTAATTAAATTTAATCTTCTTCCACTTTTATGTATTAATTGTACACTTTCATATAAATCTGAAACAGATCAAATAATTGAAAGTGATTCTGATATACCATGGGATCCATCTGTAATTCAAACAGTTTATGGTATAGATGGTTTTAATGAAATAAAAAAAAATTTTGATCAATTTTTATATATTGCAAAATATGATCAAAAAATAATTCAATTAATACTTATTACTTTTATGTTAACAAAAGGTTTTTCAGTAGCTGCAATTGATGAACCAATATTAAATGATTCTATAGCTGTATATCGTGCACAAAATTATTATATTGAACTTTTATGGAAATATATGATAACAGTTCATGGATTTGAAATAACTATTCAAATATTTAATAAACTTATAGCATATTTTATAACATGGCAAGCATCACAAATTAAAATTCGACATATTATTGAACAAAATTTATTATCAACAAATATTAATGAAATATTACCATTTATGAAAGCAATATTACATATTTCATAAAATTTTACAATTTATACGTAATGAGTTCAAAAAAAGTATCCGGAATAATTTTATTTAAAAATAATAAGAAGCACTGCTGTATTTGTATTATTACCTGTATGTAGTTCCTAGAGTCTTCTCTACCCATAGACATCAGTGATGTCCATCGTGGCTGAAAATCTGCAGCTGTCGCGGTAGTTTTCAAAAAAGTATTTCTAATTTCACTGTTGCGACTATATTTGACCAGAAATATTGGTATTAATCCATCAGATTCATTCAGTCTCGGGATGTTTCATTTGTAAACCATGAAATTCTATTAAATTCATGAAGTTTTTCAATGTCCTCTTAAAAAAATGCTGCTGCTGCTGCCATGAATATCTCTGCTATATATTCATAGATATTGGATGGAAACTAGCCGTACAAAATATAAAACTTTGCTCAAGTTTTTAGTCAATGTATAAACGGTAGTCTCAAATGTATTTCTATATTTTCATATATATGTTTAATATAAATACAGCAGTGCTTCTTATGGTTTTTAAATAAAATCATTTCGGATAATTTTTGAATGGCCTTCGCATATGAATGAAATTGATTTTATATTTGTAAAATTTATATGAATAAAAACAATGATTCATTTGTCTTCTTAAGAGAATACATTTGATTTTTATATTTATCATTAAAACTATTCCTATTCGTTATGTTTTATTCTAAAAAATTTGATCGAATATATTTGTGCAATCATTATTATGAATGGTATAAAGTCGAATCCCAGCATTTGAGTTCAGTGCATGTCTATGTAAAACTAAAGAAGGTGTTTGTTGATTTGCAAATAAGAATTAAGTTTGAATAGCCAGTGTTTTATCCAGGTTTTGCACGCTGGAAGGGCAAATTCAATTGTCGGGAGGGGGGGGGGGCATACAAAATTTTTCAAGAAACGAATCGCCTTGAGTGTTACCAAGTATATTATAATAACATTTTCAAAAGAGTTGCGCTTTGCAAGTTATAAAAAAGTTATTCTTTTCCTTTGTTAGAAAAATATACATAAAATATATAAAGAACCACCAAGTAATAAATAAATTACAAGAAAAAAACTATCAGCTAAAGAGAAAAAAGTAAAGAATGTACGAACAACACAAAGTTCTGTTATATACACCAAAACCTCCTCATGAAAAACGCAAGTAACACACAGACACTTTTCTTTAAAAGACAAAGTTGCGGTCGGTTATATTGATTTGGAACATCAAAATAATGATGCTGATTTTTATTTCGATCTGCCACCAGTGTTTGTTATGTTAGAAATGTTTTCAGATTTGCTTTAGCCAAAAGAGTACTTGAAATGTCAAAGCCGAAAAAGAGCTTTTTTAAGTCATTTTTATATGAAAACTGTAGATTTTGACTGGCAACTATGATTTTTTATCTTGATCTTAAACGAAAAACGATGTAGATCGACGCAGAATGTATAAAAACCTACGTAAAAACTTTGAATGAGCAGGATCAGTTGTTTTGCATCGGAGAAGATTGGTCGTTAACTTTTATCACCCCGGTTGATCGTTAGCCGTTTTTACTGTACTGTAGTGGACATTTTTCAAAGTCCCAGATATCAATTTTTGCTGGGAATGAACCTTCCTATACTGGACACCATCTTAAAGTTCTATAGTGAACCCTTGCGATAGACCCCAATAATGGCCACGAAAGGAAAATTTTACTATACTCTAACGACTGTTAGTTTTTCCGAGAAAAAAGGATGAAAAGAGAAGTAACATTAGCATTACCGAATTATTTTATTCACTAGAATTCTTTAGATAATGAGAAAACTAGTGTGTTCCGTGTAAAAATATTTTGGCTTTAGAAAAAACTAACAAACTTAACCTCCCTACAGTGAACACTTTTGAAAAGTCCGCAAGGCGTTCACTATAGAAAGGTTTTGGTGTAATCTGATAACATTGAGAATAACGATGTGAAAAGAAACAATTCAAATCTGATTGAAATTCATAACATATGATAGTTAGATTATATAAACGAACTAGTATTTATTCTATTTTAAAACTATTATATTTATTGAAAGATCTTTAAAAATCTCCAGTACAGAATAGTATTAAAAAAATTAGACTGTTTTCTTTTTCTAAACTCATTTCATTTTTTCCGAGGAGCAAAATGTGCCATGCCCTCCCCCCACCCTACTGGATAAAACACTGTAAATAGCATCTCGAAAACCAACGTTAACGATTGACTTTGAGACAATACTATGTTTTCTAAAGATAAAAGAGCAAAAATATCGCTATCATCATTGCAAATAAAATCTCTCATATTTAGTAATTTCTAATCAAAAAAAAATCTTGTATATCAATATTGTCGATTAATTTAATTAATTCGACAAGTTATGTTTTTTGAATATTTATAATAAAATCTAAAACTAATTTTCCATATTCTACTGGATGTAAACGAAAATGATTGACATGTCCTGAATCAATAAATCGATGAGATATAACATTAACACCACGTTCAACTTGTCTAGCTATAATTTGTTCTAGAAAAATACAAAAAATAAAAAAACTTCATTTCTAATGATCAAAAGAATAAGTTACCAATAATATTCGATGGTATGAGACGATCAGCATCACTATACAGATAACACTGTTGAATATCTATCGGTATAGTATTAAGAAATTCTCGTATTTTATCTGATGGTAATAATGAATGTGATAAAAAATAACGTTGATAAAAAAGTAATATAAATAAATAATAAACCATTAATGGTGTCCAAAATAAATGAAAATATCGTGCTTGATTCAATATAATACTAACACATGGTCGAGATGTACCAATTGCTGATATAATAATCCAAGGTAATGATTTATTTGAACGTATAAATGGTGCTGAATCTAAAATAATTCCTTTTATATTAAATAATAATTGATTATAATGTTCATTTGTTTTCATTATATTAAGCATATATGACCAAACAAGAGCACCATTATTTGAATGAAGATGAATAATAATAATTTTATTTGATGTACGATTTTCATGAAGAAGAAAATCTAATACATGTTCAATTTGTTTAATATCAATACCAAATAAATAATTAAACATTGGATTAATCCATGATACTGTTGGAATATGATGTGATGAATAAAAATCAAGTAAACGTCGTAATTGTCGACGTTTACATCCTCCCCAACCGAGTATACAAACTAATGCAGGAGCAGATGATGATCCTGATATACATACAGGAGTATGATCAATAGTATTAAAACCCAAATATCGATGAGAATAATGATCGGCTATTTTATATAAAATAAATCCAAAAAGAACAATGCCAAGAATAATAAATAATTGAATTAACATTTTCTTTTTATCTATAAATAAATATTTATTTTTTTGATTTTTTGCCAATGAGTCAAAAGTAAAAAATTTTCTTTTTTTTTTTATTACATGAAGTAAACAATGACAGATTTTTATTCGTTCTGTATATACATGTGCTTATCGTTTGCACTTTACTATCGCACCACCTTTCATAAACTACGAAGCTTTTCTTCTTGTTGGTAGAAAAAAAAACGTAAGTTAGACGATGAGTATAAAAGCAACTGTAAGTTACTGATCATAAAGTATCTTCAGTAATAACCTAATGTTATTCATTTGATTGTTTCTTATCATCAATTAAATTGAAAGAAACTTATTTAAAGGTAACTAAATTTTTCCTTTATAAAGTCTAATAAATTGATTCTTCGCAAAAAAAAACATGAGTTTCTCTCTTTAAATCTATACTTGTAATAAATTTAATAAGTCTTTATTACCGATAAAGAATATCAATTTATATAGAAAGAATGTATCTTGTATAAAAATACAAAGGAGACGTACGTTCGTTTGTTCGTACTTTTTTTCTATTGACCTTTTCTTCATACTTGAATAAAATTAGGCCATTAATTATTACTTTAAGTACAACATATTTTACTAAATATAATGACATGCAACTAGTGATACTTTATAAAAACTAATTTTGATTTTGGATTGTATAATGTGAAATTTATATCGAAAGAAAAGAAAATAAATAAGATTTAAGTAAATGTTTTGCTTTCCTCATTTATATCAATACAAATGATACAAAACAACTTTTCAATTTTTTGAATAAAGTCTAATGAGAAAATCTTACCAAATGATAAATTAGTTTTGAGATGAGTCTGATGCCATTAGATAAACTTTCGAAAGAATCGTACTCATAGATTTTTTTCTTTTTTGAATTATATATATATATATTTATTTTTAGTACATTTTTCGAGAAAATCTCACATGACACTTTTTTTTATATCATCTCTTGTCATATATAAATATTGACAATACTCTTCTATTTATATTTCAAGATAGAAGATATCAGAATATATGGTACTTTCATAACAGACTAGTCTCATTGAATATTTTATTTCTGCAATGTCTAAATTCGAAAGTTGATTTTGAACGATAAACTTCAATATTTTTTATTGAAAAATTCACTAAAATAATCATACACTGGTATTTGAATAATCACGGAAGAGATTATACCGTATATTTATCATGTATTATAACATTTTCAGATGTAAGACACTAATGTAATCGTTTTAAATTTGTAAATAAACAATGTGTGATGATGTCAATATCGTTTGAAACATTAGAATTGATCTGTTATTTAAATTTTTGTTTTAGAAAAATATTCTTTTCCTTTCTATTATGACTTCTGAAGTATCATCATCATCATCGTCTAATTCAAAAAAACGTCGAATAATGATTATAACTGCTGATGAAAGTATTATTGAAGAAATTGAAAAAAATAGTAATACAACATTATTTAAAGCGATTATATTGGATTCTAATGATAATAATATTGAATTATCTCATTCAAATATAAAACATATTCTACCTGAAGTTCAATCATCAAATAATAAGAAGACAAAAAATAGTTTATTAACATGTGTTGTTTGTGGTTCATCAGCAAATGGATATAATTTTGATGCTATATCATGTGAAAGTTGTAAAGCTTTTTTTCGTCGAAATGCTCTTAAAGATCCAGTAAAATTTATACATAATAAAATCTAATATACCATATAATCATTGTTGATCTTTGTTTTTTTTTTTTTTATAGGCAACACTTGAATGTCGTCGTCATGGTAATTGTGATATAACACTTGAAACACGTCGTCGTTGTTCGGCATGTCGTTTAATAAAATGTCTAAATAGTGGCATGAAACGTGATCGACTTTTAACAGTATGAATAAATATGAATTTATTCCTTTTTTCTTTGATAATAAATATTCATATTTAGGCTGAACAAAGAGCAGCAAAACGTCGTAAAATAGAAGAAAATCGAACATTAACATTAAAAACAAATGAAAATAATCAAAATTTAACATCAGAAATTAAACAAGAAAAATCTCAATCATTATCATCTGTAATTCTATTTTGATTTTTTTCTTTTGCTTTATAAGAACAAAATAAAAACAAAAATTTTTATTTTTATTATCCAGCCATCTAAATCAGAAGGTACAAATCTTCTTCTACTTAATGATTATACTGATCTTCTACCAAAAACAACAACACAACAAACACGAACATTACTTAGTGCAGAAGAATTACAACGTGTAGAAACAATACAAATTTCATTTGAACAACGTATTGAACTCGGTTAGTAGTTACTCATGTAAGAGAGAGAGAGAGCTATCCAAATTTTTGTTATGACAAGAAAATCATGAGGAGATTTCCTTTTTAAGATTTTCTTATTATTATCAGCACCAGAATTTAAAGCACTCGGATGTTATTTGAATAACTTCTGGTAGGAACAAGATAGAGACCTGTGTCGAAAGAGGGATGTCCAAGTCATTGATCTGTATAGAATTCATTAAGACGAAAGATGCTTTTGGATCAATACTTTGTCCTTTGCGCATTTTCATATAATTTGAGTTGAGATTACTGTGAAAATATGCAAAGAAAAAACTGTTGATTCAAAAGCATCTTTCGTTTTAATGAGTTCTATGCAGATTAATGACTTGGATATCCCACTTTCAAACGGTGAAAACCGCATCTCTCTATCTTGTTCCTATCGGAAGTTATTCAAATAACATTCGAATGCCTTGAATTCTGACGATGATAGTAGTTATAAGACGTTTATGGTTAGAAGTTCTCTTGTTTAGCAAAAACATCATGTATCAATTGCAGACTTCCCCCTCGTTGGTACAGGTATGTTAAAAAAAACGAGTTTATTTGAAAATTCTACATCCCGATAAAGGAATATCCTCTACGAACCACGAGATGCATCTGTGGACGAAATTTCAGTAAAACGATCATAGTTTATTGTGAATGTTTCAGATTTTTTTATTTGATTCTATCTTGAAATAAGAATATCAAATCTGCTGAAAGATACCCTATTACCATAGTTGTATCTTAGGGAATAGGAACAGCGGCAAGATCTACGTCATCAAGACGTTCCAAAGGATTTTGCTCGTTAGCAAACAATTTCACTGTTTTTTTTTATTATTATATATTAATTAATTACTATATATAGCTGCTCGTGATGGTCTTCCATGGAATCCATCGATTCATACGAGTACTCTATTACAACATCTCAATGCTCGTTCAGTATCAGCTATGAGACTTTTATCATTTTTCAAACAAATACCTGAATTTAATGAATTAAATGTTCAAGATCGAGTTACATTAGTTAAATACAATTTAATGCCACTTTTTATATTAAATTGTACACTTGGATATAATAGAGAAAGTCAAACAATTATTGAAACTGATTCTGATGCTCCTTGGGATTCATCTATATTCATGAAAGTTCATGGTTATGATATATATAATCAAGCTAGAAAAATTTTCGAATCATTTGTACGAATTGCACAATATGATCAACGTATAATACAAGTAGCACTTATTATACTTATTCTAACAAAAGGTTTTTCTGCAAATGATAATTCATGTGAACCTATACTTGATGATGGTATAGCTGTATATCGTGCACAAAATTATTATACAGAACTTTTATGGAAATATTTAGAAACAATACATGGTTATGGAAAAGCTATTCAGATATTTAATGAACTTGTTGCTCATTTTATGTCATGGCAAATGCTTCAAAGATATCTTCATCGTAATCTATGTAATGTATTAACACCAACAGAAATGAATGAATTATTACCGATTATGAAATCATTATTACATATTCCATAAGGAAATCTGTATGAGTGTGTTTTGTTGTGTTAGTAGAAATAAAGAAAGGTATTTTTTTTTTTGTGTGTGTGTGTAATAGTTATTCACTTTTTCTTAGTGTTATATAATCATTAAAACATCCAATAGATGTTTTTATATGATCATAAAATTGAATTTTAAATTTTGTATTGTCCATTTATAAATATTTCATGTTTAAATAATTTTGATTTTACTAGGAGACGAATATATTCTAATGTATAACTTTCAGATAATAATTGACAATTCTTATTAACAATATTTTATTGAACTACACGAATTTTTAATAAGTGTACATAATGATTGTTGTGAAACATTGATTTATATTGAACCTAATTTTCTTTGAAGTTTAATTGCATATGTTGATTTTGTTGTATCAAAATCATGAGATATTTCTAATTGATCTGACCAAATATTAAATGATAGAATATCAAATGAATTTAAATTGAATATGATAAACATTGATTAATAACTGAAAGAAATAATAATAATAATAATAATACGTTCACATACATTCTCACTATACGTATGTCTATGATGAGAAGAAAAAAAAATGCAAAACAAAAACACATTATTTTTTGTTTTCGATATCCTTTCCCTTTTATTTCTTTATTTACCGCTTCTAAGAACATAAGACGAAGAAAGAAAAAAAAAACACGAATCACCCATATAAAAGATTCAATACACCGTTAAGAATAAAACAAAGAAGTCCATAAGCAATATTTATTTATGTTAATGCTGAATGTAAAGGAAGTGCAGGTTCGTCAATAGAGCCAAAATCAATAAGAATAATATGTCGAGCATTTTGTGCTGTTGGATTCGAACTTGTTGTTGTTGTTGGTGTACTAACTATTGATGAAATTCCAACAACACGATGTTCAATAACAAAAGCAGCCTAAATGATATGTAGAATATTATTATTTTTTTATTTCGTTTTGTATAAAATAATATTGAAACTAACTCGAATTTTTTTTATATCAGAATTTTTTATTTTAATAAAACATCGTATAGCAATTTTAGCAAATTTTCGATAAATAACTAAATCTTTTGAATCATTTTGACGTAATTCATCATTTATTTTTGTATCAGTTTCATTTGGTTCAACATGTGCATGTAATTGTATTGAACGTTCATTTTCTAATGGAAATATTAATTGACATGTTAAAATATTTTCATCTAATTGATTTATTTGTTTAATTAATTCTTTATTATTATCATTATTATCTTCACGAATTTCATCTAATGTATATAATTTTAATATTGTTTTTTCATCAAGTTGATTAATAATTGAAAGTATACATGGATTATTATCATTAATTGACCATGTTGGATGATGCCAAATGCGTACCTAATGATAAAATAAGAAAAAAAAAAGTTTCATTTTATCAGCTTCTTTTTAAAGGACACTAAGATGAATATCCTTCATTTAAAAAACCATTGTAGAGCAACTCATGTCATAAGTTCTGTAATGGTTGACTTTTATGATGTTTCAAATTTACTAATTGAAGGGCGTCATAGTCAACCACTACCTAAAAAAGATCAGCTATTCAAGACCTGAGGACAGAAAAGTAACGGGTGGTCCAGAATAAATGGCGGTCTCAATATTTCATTTGATTCTCAGCATTTCAGAACTTATTTTTTTATTATCAAAAGATTCTATTTTCAATTCTCTACAAAACTACATACTTTTGTTAATGAAAGTTTACTCTCTCATTTTCTGATGCTGAATACAAAAGATTAACCCAATATGTTCAACTTTCCAACTTAGGTTTTTTT